CTCAGCTGCAAATTCGTTAGGAGGGGCCCAGGGGACACAGTCAAGGGAAGGGGAAGGATCTCTTACCTGAACCTCCGGGAGTGTGTTGTAGTCCTGGGTGCGGGCCTGTTGTCGAGTGACCACAGGGTGAGCTTCTCCTGTGGTGGGTGTCTGGGGCTCAAAAGCAGATGTGAGCCTCCCCAGATCGTTCCCCAATAAAACCTCCGCCGGTAACTGCGGCATCAACCCCACCTCCACATGCCCTGCCCCCGCTCCCCAATGCAAATGTACCCTTGCTGTGGGTAGCCGGTATACTGCTCCCCCGGCTACCCTGACGGCCACAGTCTTACTAAGTTTAGCTTGGTCTGAGACCAGGTGACTTTTACCAGGGTGATGGTGGCTCCTGAGTCACGTAGCCCCTGAACCGCTTTACCCTCCAGATACACGGTCTGCCTGTGATGCTGGCGGTTGTCTGCGTTAGCCTGGACGGGATCTGCCTCGTGCAGTACCTCCCACTGCTCTACTGTTGTGATGGGAACTGCTGAACCATACGGTGTGGCCACGATGTCCTGGTAGTGATGGGCTGCGGCGGCTCTCGGTGGTGGTGGTGGACCGGGTCGGATCCAGGTGGAACGGTCCCGCAGCTGGGGGCATTCCCTTTTATAATGTCCCCACTTCTGGCAGTGGTGGCAAGGGCCCGACGTGGGCTGGCGGAAACGTGGCTGTGCAGCGGGTGGTGGTGGTGGTGGCAGTGACCTTGGTAGAGCTGGCGTGTAGTTATTTCCCCCAAAGGTTTTAAAATGTACTTTTGGAGCTGCAGGTTTTTGCTGCCTGCGTGCATCCAGGTACTCGTCTGCCTTCCTGGCTGCTTCGGTAAGGGAGGTAGGGTTTCTGTCTCTTACCCACTCCTGTACCTCGCTGGTTACTCCTTCATAAAATTGCTCCAGTAGTACCATTTGCAATACATCCTCCATAGACCGTGCCTTGCTCGCTTGCACCCACCCCAAGACTGCTCGTTGTAGTCTGCATGCCCACTCAGCATGTGAGTCTTTCTCCACCTTCTTTAAATCCCTGAATCTCCGCCGGTATGCTTCTGGTGTTATAGCATACCTGGCCAATATAATTTCTTTCACTTTGTGGTAATTCCGTATTTCATCATTCGGTACAGTCCGGTATGCCTCAGCTGCCCTCCCAGTTAACCTCCCTGCCAAAATAGGTACCCAGTCCTCTGCGCTGATTCTATGCAGTGCACACAGTCTCTCGAAATCTTGCAGGAAAGCGTCTATATCTTCCTCTGCCTCCACATATGTTTTAAAAGCCTGGTACGGTATTTTCGGCTTACCTTCATGTGGCATATTTACTGCAGAGCTGCGTTCTGGGGCCGCTGTTTGACTCCTCAGTATAAATTCCTGGACCTCCGTCATCGTTTTGGAAACAATCTCTGTTGGAGGGTGTTCCCCATAGAAAGACAGCCGAAATTGTACCTGCCTCTGGAACTCCCTTTGTTCCGGTGTTTCTCCCGAATTCCCCTGTTCGGGAACCGAATCGCCTTCCATTCGGTACTCCGCCATCAGTTCAGTGATAAGTACCGCTTTTGTCTTATTGCTGGCTTGTATACCCTTTGCCTCCAGAAGGTCTTTTAGCGTGGAGCGTTTTAGTGTGGCAAAATCAATCTCCATCCGTACTCCATTTAGGCTTGTTCCTCTGTGAGTCTGGATCCCAGCGCTGCCAACCAATGTAGCGGAGATGCAATATTACCCAGGTTATCTCCCCTTATAATCCAAGTGAGACTCAGGAACAAGTAAATAGTAAATCCAAAGGCAGGGTTTCCAGCAGGTAAAATACAGCAATATCCCCACAGCAATCCCAATAACTGGACGACACACAGTTTCAGGAGCATAACTAACTAGCCTTTAATCACAGTCTCCTTATAAAGCATGCTCCCATGCAAGGGAGGGACTTACAGTAATTATTACAGTAGCCAATCCTGTCCTGGTAACCTCCCACACATCCCCTCCCCTCAGCCAGCGTCATAATCCCCTTATCCAGCACACCAATTCCCCCCGTTTCTGGATGTACCCCTAAACGTAGGGGTACCCCTTTAAATCATACATCCCCTGGTAGCCCTGATCTGGGTGACCAACATATCCAAAAATCACCCAGATCAGACCAGGGGTTCGGGAAATGTATGGAGGGAATAAAATGACCGACCGCACTAACTGAGATAGCCGAATCCGGTTCCATGTGAATGGGCCCTGCGGTCGGTCCTGGCATAAGGGAATAAAATACACGAAAACCTCTAGCTATAGAGGCTAGGGAGGGTTCGCCTGAATCCCTTCGTTCGGTATTCTCTATCTACCGAACGAGGGGCCGTTCGGTAGTTTGGAACCGAACGGACCAGGGCTGTGGAGGTCTCAGCGGTGTTCGCCTACTCGAGTGTCCGATTTTAGTTCCAGACACTCGACGGCAAAACACCGCTGTTCGGGAGTTTTAAAATGGCCGCCGCCACGTGTTCGTTTGTCGAATGGCGGCCACCCCCTGAGAACAAAGGACGGCTACTTACTGTTCAATTACCCGTTCGCAACAATGTTGCAACGGGTAATCGAGGACACACTTCACACAGGGGAGGTCTGGTTGTTCGGTAGTTTCATTCAAATAAACTAAGGGAATGAAACTACCGAACAATCAGAGGAATACAATTCTTTTTAATACACAGAAAATACAGCAGATACACGGATGCAGCTTTATACAGTATTTTTGTAGGGTCGCCTGGTGCCATCCGCTACAGTGGGCGTCCTTCCCCAACCGAAGTTCCATTGGTGGACTGCTGATGTCTCCATTTGTGTTTGTAGTCTCCATCATAACGGCTTGATAGAAATTAGCGCGTCAGCAATACCGGAACCGGAAGTGGTAATGTCCGGATACTTCTGCGTTCCATTATGCGTTCCACATGACGTCATGTACGTCCTGCCTATTTGGGCTATCACCCATATCGTCGGGCGGAATACATTATAATACTAAGTATCTACTAGAAACAGAGAAGTGTCATTATCATCAAACTTAGCTCAAAATGTGTATGTTATATTTAATAAATTATTCTTATCTTAATAAGTTGTAAATCTTAAAATTTAAACTGAGTTTTATACTCATATTGAATGTGAATTAGACCATATGGTTAGTGAACCAAATTTTTAAGGTGACCAGTGCACAAAGAATAAAACTATGCAAGAAAATAAAAAAATATCTCTGCATGCCCTATTCAACATTCTGCTTTTAAAGTGACAAGTACAACAATTTGTGAAATAAAGTGCTCTAATTATGTTACCCTCTGAAAATATATGAATAAAAATTAAACGATACAAAAAAAACCTCCTTGTAAAGTGGAGGTGTACACACACTTGTATCTCAAAGGCAATATATACAAAAATAAAAAAAAAGGGAAGATATTATCCAACGGAAAGTTGTATAGATAAATACTGTAATGACCAATTATAGATTCCAGAAAACTGCAACAGATGGGTTCAACCAAATCACATAGATGAAATCGTGATTATACTGTACACTTGATAAAAACAATGCTTGGGTAGAAAAGGTTCCTTATAGGGAAAAACAAATGCTGCCCATAGGGTACCCTAATCAAGGAAACAAACCAAATCAATATCAATATTTAGACTTCTTGGAGCCAATGTTTTTAATTTATGGATCTAAAAAGTCTCCCTTTGAGCTAATTTTCTCAACCTATCTCCTCCACGCCAAAAAGGAAAGACTCTCTCTATGCCCATACATATAAAATTGTTGAAAGAAAAAGCTGGACAGGTGGAGCAGTGAGCAGACACCGAATGAGTAATTAAACCCTTTCGGATGTTTCTCAAGTACTCCAGAAATCTGATCTTAAGAGTCCGCTTGGTCCGCCCAACATATTGCTTGCCACACGGACACTGCAGGAGGTATACCACAAAGTCTGTGTGGCAACCAAGCTCCGACTTAATCATATATTGTTCCGTGGTGATGAAACTAGAAAAAGAATAAGACCTCCCCACTGATGCCGTGGTACAGGCTTTACATACGCCACATCCTCTGAAGACTCCGAAATGGGATAGTAGTGGGTTTAATAGCATGGCTAGGAGCTAGCATATTCTTAAAATTGGTATTCTTCGTATAGATAACTGTGGGTCTATCTGGTAGATGGGCACCCAAAACCGGATCTTGTAATAAAATGGGCCAAAAATTATTCAGACTTCTCTTTATCTTTCCAAAATCTGCGTTAAATAGTGTAATGAAGGCAGACCTGAAGTGTTCACTAGAGTTATATGAACTAGGTTTATCCGCCAATAATGTGTTTCTTTTTAATGTTTGTACTGAGCGAATCTCCCTCTCCAATGTATTCTTATCATACCCCCTCTCAAGAAGTTTCTTCTTAACATGTTGAGATTGGGCTTGAAAGTCCAGAGTATTAGAACAATTACGCCTAAGGCGTGTAAATTGACTCCTGGCTATACCCTTCATCCAGGGTTTGTGATGGCAACTATGCTGGTGAACATATCCGTTGCCATCTGTAGGTCTGAAAAAACATTTAGTGCGTATGGTTCTTTGGTCGCAGAACAACGTGAGATCAAGAAAATTGATCTCCTCCTTGTTCCACACAGGGGTAAAAAACAGATTGTATTAGTTAGCATTGAGAAAATTCACATAATCCTGAAAATAAATAAAAAGCCCCTTCCAAATAATAATAACATTGTCTATATAACATCGCCAGAGCACCAGATTTGCCCTCCAGCGATGCCCCGATCCCACAAAAAGTTCCTCCCATCTCCGCACATAGGTGTTGGCATAACTGGGGGCAAACCTGGTGCCCATGGTAGTCCCTGTGGTTTGTAAATAATATTCACCATTAAAGAAAAAATAATTGTGATTCAAAATAAATTAAACTGATGAAAAGATAAATTCCTTCAACCCTGAAGACAGCCCCGGATCTTGCGCCATAAAATAATTAATGGCCTCCAGCCCCAGTTGATGGTCAATCACCGTGTACAGTGAGGCCACATCCAATGTGGCCCAGCTGTACTCAGGATCCCACTCATACATTCTAATTCCTGCAAAAAGGACTTGGTGTCCTTCAAATATGAAGGCGCACCTTGTGCGTATTTCTGTAAAGATGCATCAACAAACTCCGATAAATTGGCTGTTATGGAGTTGATGCCGCTGATGATCGGGTGGCCTGGGGGGTTTGGGAGACGTATATGGGTCTTTGGAAGAAAATAAAAAATGGGAATTATTGGGTGTTGTTGAAACAGATAATCAAAAAAATTTAGAGAAATAATTTCTTTATTCTTGGCCACTTCCAACATTTTTTTAAGTTCCACATAAAACTGAGATGTAGGGTCATTCCCTAAGACGGCATATGTTTCTCTATCATTTAGAAGATTTGCAGATTCTTCCAAATACTATGCCATAGTCATACAAAACAATCTCCCCCCTACCCCCTTATCTGCTTCCCTAATGACTAGATCGGTCCTTTCCATTAAATTTTTAAGAATAGATTCCTCCTTTTTGGTTAAATTATATGTACCTGGCCTGTTCTTTTTCTTAGTTAGAGATTGAAATTCTCGGTCAACCATATGTTCAAAGGTCTCCAAGAATGGACCTCTACTATTAATGGGAAAGAACTGCGATGTGGGCTGAAATTTCTGATGGATAGCAGTCTTACCTTCACTATCAGGGAGGGCTGGGGAAGAAGGATGTAATAAGAAGTGTCTTTTTATGGTCAATGACTGTATATACTTCTTCAGGTCCATGTACAGTTTAAAGTAATTTGCTGTTTTATTAGAGGCAAATTTCATCCCTTTTGATAAGTTTATTTCATCATCTGACAAGGGTTCCCCCGTAAGATTAAAGATTCCCTTTTCTATTTCCTTCTTTCTTAAAATATGTACAGTAGATTGAATATTTACTAGTCCTTTAGCCCCGATCATACCACCAGCAAGTGGTCTTGGACAAGGATCCTGACCATATATATCTACCTACCTCAAATCTTGACAGATTGTAAGCTTGTTTGAACAAATACTTCTTCACATCTAAGTATTCCCTTTAGTCTATAAATGCAAAGTAGTGCACATTACGTTGGTGCTATATAAATTCTAATAATAAAAAGTACTGCCAACTACGTAGCAGAGATGATATCTGGGTACAGCGGCTACGGGACCACTAACCAGGTTTGCTATGCACTTGATATGTATAGAAAAGAAAAAAAAGGAACAAAGTTCTGATTGACTCTCATTTAACACTCACAGCAAACTGCTTGCAATGTCCTATAAGGCCACTAAAGGGAGAGTCTTTCTAATGTGATTTTATGACATCGGAAGAAGCAGTTCGCTCTTCCCCCGGTGGCATTATATGACATTGCTAGCACTTAGTTTTCACATTACAAGCTCTCCATCTAGTGGCATTACATAAAAATGCGAGCATGTATCTTGTGTAGTAAGTGAAACTGCTAATCAGTTTAAGTTAGGCTTCCCCAAACTCTGGCCCTCCAGATGTTGCTGAACTACAACTCCCATGATTCCCAGCCTATTTCATTAATCGAATCATGGGATTTGTAGTACAGCAACATCTGGAGGGCCAGAGTTTGGGGAAGCCTGGTTTAAGTTATAATAAGAACAGACCCCACAGATCAGAATCAGAGGCTCCTAACTGGTGTAGCCTCTGGCTCATTCTGCTCTGGTCAGTGTGTGTTAATATCACTTGCTGTACAAATGTAAATAGCATTAGAATACGATCCAGTATCAACGACCCAGGTTTAAGCAGTATCTCTTGGGGCAGGTAATAAATCATCACATTTCATGCATAGTAAGGATTTTTTGGGGTGTACTAGTACCAAGTATTCTGTTTTCCCATTGCTTGGCTTGATTGAAAGTGTAAGTTTAATGTTGCAGAAATAATTGTAAAAAACTCTAAAGAAAAATTATACCAGAAACATACAAATACTGAAACAATGTGATTTTAGTGTTTTCTTCCAAAAATACATTATAGAGGTAAACTAGAGATACGGTGTAGAGAACATTACACGTTGTAAAGCAAACACCACTATGCATTTAAAGAAATTCTTTAAAATTAAGAGTCATTTAAAAAAAAAAAAAAAAAAAGAGAGAAAAGTATTTTTTTTTCCATACAGAAAACAATATAGCCCACATCAAGACAAGCATTGTAAGAGATGCACAGTTCATCTGGTCCTCAAACACCAGTTAGTATGTTTTGTTTTTGTTTTTGTTGGTTCATCTCTCTGTTACGGACATCATTTCATCCAACAGAATATCTTGCCAATAACTGCTTTTCGAAAAGATTGTATCACGGTGCTGCCATAACCTGCCTCTCTTGATATCACCATGAAATAAACGCTAAAGTGTAAACTCTCTAAAATTCAAAGTGAATTTCTAAATAGCCAAAATAGCAAAATTGAAAAACATAGGTGACTTGGAGAATTCTTCCAATACTGCTATTATGACCTAATATTTGAAATTCACTTAGATTTTTACGACAATAATAGTAATAACAGCTGACCTTTGCAGATTACAGGTATGTTATATCTTAGTGACATACACCAAGAACTTAAAAAAAACCTTTTGAAGGACAAATTAAATGAACTTTCATGTATTTTTTAATTTACTTCCATTGGTTATATTCTTAAAGCACCTTAATAACAACTCCAACCAATTAAATTAAGTTGCATTAATTGCAAGGGACTGAAGGTCTAGCAGTGAAGTTGAGTTTTTTTGTTTTTTTTAACAGCCTTAAATTTATAAGCCGAGAATTAAAACCCAATACTAGGCATTACACACACACACACAAAAAAAAAAAAAAAAGTAAAAATTGTGCACATGCTACGGTTTTAAGAAAAAAACCTCTACAACTATTTCATACAACGTCTACATAAACATTACCCAGGAGAAGTAGTAAACGCGCAGTTGCGTTATGTTGTGAGGTAGCAGTTTGAAGAGCTAATGGATTCACTATGACGCCCCAAAATTGGATATAGAAACCGCTGATAAAAAGCTCTGGAATGAGGAGGATTGTGGACTCTTAAGGCCAGAAGGAAAATAAATAACCCATCTCTAATATAAAGGTTTCATTAGACCGGCATTCCTTCATTTTAAAATTCATCTTTAATACTAAATTGTGGTTGATCCTCCGGTTTAAAGTGGGGATTGGGGCTCCCGTCTTCATTTAAGATTCGCCGCGCAGTGTACCCAACAATGGGGTATTTTTTCTTGTAAACATTTTCAAAGATATCATCCAGAGACTTAAGTTGTTCTTCAGTAAGCCCAGACTACAAAGAATGAAAGAGGAAATTATGAGATGAAATTTAATAATATGAAACATGGACCTATCACACAACAATTACACATTCCTTTATAGTGAATACAATATTATCATTGCATTGTTTTTCATAAATTGCAAGCAAATGTATCAAATGTATGCATACAATTTATCATATTTGTGTTTTTATCTACACTATCTGCAAAAAGCTAAAAATACGGACATACATAAAGAGGACCCAAGCATGAATTTTATCAGAGAAACTTAAAGAGATAATAAAAGCACCCTAATTACATCAGAATGAAGTGGTCTGGACGCAGTGGTTCTTTGCTTTTAACTCTGCAATGTAAAACATTTCTATTTTAGGAATAAATACACCTTCCTGACAGCCACCACATGTGCTTCCCCGCATAAGAACCAAGTCTGATTTGAATTTCAATCAAATGCTGGACTGGCTGAGATCCCCAAGCTTGATGACCTCAGCCAGGGAGTAGCCCTCTTGTGCGTCTCCTTCTCCCCTCCAGCCTACCTTGTGTCTCTCCTTCTCCCCTCCAGCCTACCTTGCGTCTCTCCTTCTCCCCTCCAGCCTACCTTGCGTCTCTCCTTCTCCCCTCCAGCCTACCTTGCGTCTCTCCTTCTCCCCTCCAGCCTACCTTGCGTCTCTCCTACTCCCCTCCAGCCTACCTTGCGTCTCTCCTACTCCCCTCCAGCCTACCTTGCGTCTCTCCTTCTCCCCTCCAGCCTACCTTGCGTCTCTCCTTCTCCCCTCCAGCCTACCTTGCGTCTCTCCTTCTCCCCTCCAGCCTACCTTGCGTCTCTCCTTCTCCCCTCCAGCCTACCTTGCGTCTCTCCTTCTCCCCTCCAGCCTACCTTGCGTCTCTCCTTCTCCCCTCCAGCCTACCTTGCGTCTCTCCTTCTCCCCTCCAGCCTACCTTGCGTCTCTCCTTCTCCCCTCCAGCCTACCTTGTGTCTCTCCTACTCCCCTCCAGCCTACCTTGCGTCTCTCCTTCTCCCCTCCAGCCTACCTTGTGTCTCTCCTTCTCCCCTCCAGCCTACCTTGTGTCTCTCCTTCTCTCCTCCAGCCTACCTTGTGTCTCTCCTTCTCTCCTCCAGCCTACCTTGTGTC